AAATCTCCATATCATTCACTACAGTGGCTGAACCAATTTACATTCTCACCCACAGTGTAGCAGTTTTCCCCTTTCACCACATACCCTCCAGCACTTATCATTTTTTTGTTAATGTTTGCCATTCTGACTGGGGTTAAGTGGTATCTCATTGTGGTTTTGATTTGCATCTCCCTTACAATGAGGGATGTTGAGCATTTTTTCATATGCTTTTTGACTGTTCTTATGTCTTCCTTAGAGAGTTCTTTATTCAGCTCATTTTCCCACTGTTTAATTGGGTTAATCATTTTCTTCTGGGTAAGCTGCTTGAGTTTCCTGTGTATTCTGTTACCAATACCTTATCTGAGGCACAGTTAACAAAAATTCTCTCCCATTCCGAGTGCTGTCAATTCACAGTAATTATGGTGTCCTTTTCTGTGCAGAAACTCCTTAATCTGATGTAATCCCACCTGTCTATTTGTGGGATTATTGCCTGTGCTTTGGGGGGGTCTTGCTTAGCAAATCTTTGCCTACCCCAATGTCTCCCAGAGTTTCCCCAGTGTTTTCCACCAGCAGTTTTTTAGTTTAAGGTGTTAGGTTTAGATCTTTGATCCACTTTGAGTTGATTTTTGTTAATAGTGACAGATAGGGGTTCAGATTCATCTTTCTGCAGGTGGATACCCAGTTTTTCCAGCACCATTTTCTAAAGAGGTTTTCCTTTTCCCACTGGATTGACTGGTACCCTTTGTCAAAGATGAGTTGGCTGTGTGTTTTGGGGTTTATTTCTGGGGTCTCTACTCTGCCCCACTGGTCCTCATATCTTTTTTTGTGCCAATTCCATGGTGTTCTGATTATCACAGCTTTGTAATATATTTTGGGGTCAGGAAGTGAGATGCCATCTACTCCAGTCTTCTTGCAAAGGATGGCTTTAGCAAAATGGGGTCTTTTATTATTCCAGACAAATTCTATGATTGTCTTTTCTAGATCTGTGAAGAATGTCTCTTGTAATTTTAGAGGGATTGCATTAAACATGTAGATTAATTTGGGTAGAATTGCCTTTTGATTATATTGGTTCTGCAAATCCAGGAACATGACATGTCCTTCTACTCTTTAGTGTCCTTTTCCATTTCCTTTTTAAGGTTTTCATTGTTTTCTTTGTAGAGGTCTTTGACTTCCTTGGTTAGTTTTATTCCTAAGTATCTTATACCTTTTGTGTCTATGGTAAATGGGATTACATTTTTCAGCTCTGCGTCTGTCTGCTTATTTTTGTATATAGAAATGCTCTAGATTTTTGTAAGCTAATTTTGTATCCTGCTACTTTACTGTATGCATTTATTACTTGAAGAAGTTTTTCATGGATACTATTGGGTCTTCTATGTATACAATGATGTCATCTGTAAACAGAGATAATTTCAGCTCTTCTTTCCTATTGGAATGCCTTTTATTTCCTTCTCTTGTCTGATTGCATTGGCTAGGACTTCCAGTACTATATTGAATAGGAGCAAAGAAAGTGGGCAGACTTGTCTTGGACCCATTTTTAGTGAAAAAGCTTTCAGCTTTTCCCCATTCAGTATAATGTTAGCTGTATGTTTTTTATAAATGGCTTTTATTATGCTGAGAATCGATTCTTCCATGCCTATTTTACTGAGTGTTGATCATAAAGGCATGTTGTATTTTGTCGAATGATTTTTCTACATTGATTGAAATGATCATATGGTTTTTATCTTTCTTTCTGTTACTATGGTGTATTACATTTATGGTTTTGCATATGTTGAACCACCCTTGCATCCCTGGAATAAAGCCTACCTGGTTGTGATGAATAACATTTTTTATATGCTGTTGAAAACTGTTAGCAAGTATTTTGTTGAGAAATTTTGCATCTGTATTCATTAGGGATATAATTATGGAGCCTTCATAGAATGAATTTGGAAGGGTTCCTTCCTTTTTGATCTCTAGAAACAGTGTGAGTAAAATGGGGGTTACCTCTTCTTTAAAAGTTTTGTAAACTTCAGCAGTCAAGTCACTGGGGCCTGGACTTTCCTTTGTT